ACATGCACCCCACCAGGACCCCCACGGCGAACCCCCGAGAGCGAAGAGCAGCCCAGGTTGGTCGGATCATTTCACATGCTTTATTTCAGCAGTCAAAAAAAAGAAAAATAATAGATAATTAAAAAAAAAAAAAAAACCAAAAAAAACAGAACAATTTCAAATTATTATACATTATACAAACATGGTACAGAGCCGGGAGAGCCCCGAGCATCCGCCGGGAGCTGGGCCGGCAAAACAGGGTGGGTTCGTGCCCCGTAAGGGATGGATGGATGGATGGATGGATGGATGAAAGGATGGGGAGAAAGCTGCTGGAAGATGAGAGCAGAGCTGAAGATCCACATGCTTAACCTGGAAAAGTGCCGTTTTTCTTATTCCCTTTCAAGGCTTTGAGTTGTGTTGGCTCTACTTTGCATTTGTTCCAGGATTTGCTTGTGGGATGGGCTGGGGGTTGAATAGCACCTTTAGAAAATTCACCAGTGGAGATGGACAGCAAAGAAAGGCAGGAAAGAATCAAACAGAGGGAAATGAAACTAAATCAAGGTGTCTTTGGAGGCTGTAGCACCAGGCGGCCCCAGGCTCGGGTTTTGCAGGACCGGAATGAAAGAGAATTAACCAAAAATCAGGCTAAAAATCTGGGGGTGAGAAACCTCAATGACTCCTGAGAGACCTTGAATGGAGGAAAATCAACATCAAAGAGCAACAGAGCAACAAACAATGGGAAAAGGGGGAACATTGGAGAAAAAAATTAGCACCTTTGCTCTGAACCTGGCAGGAGAGTCCTGGCAAGCTGAAAAAAAAACCCAATCGAAGCTAAAACTACATGAAAATGAAACAAAAATGCCCCCAAATATGTGACATATCTTTAACCCCGGTGAGGTAGCCTTCCAGAAAAGGAGAGTGCGGAGCAAGGGGTCGGGTCTGCGGCGCCGGGGCAGTGGCTGCTCCCCTGGAGTGCTTGGGAGTGGGCTGTTGTGGCTGCCTGAATGGGAAGAAAAGAAAGCAAAAAGAAAGAAAAGGACCCAAACAAAAGAACCAAACTGAAGGGAAGGGGGAGATGGGTAACCCCCACACCCAAGTAGCAAATCAGAACCAAGAGTTGAGCATCTTCCTTGCAGAGAAAACATGAACAGGCTGATGAGATGCGAGAAGCAAAGAGGGTTCGGGGTGGGGATGAGGAGTTCCGGTGCTCTGGATGGGGCTCGGCGTGGTGAGGGGGGGTGTGCAAGCAAAGCGAACCCACGTCCTGGTGATTTGGTTTGAAAAGTCATTTATTTTTTATTCTTTTTTTTTTGGGTTTAATGCTTTTTGGGGTTTTTTTTAGGTTTTTCTGGTATAGATTTAGAGACGCTGGATAGAAACCGACACAAATTCGAGTCCATGTGAAATTTTATCCTTTTTTTTGGCTGGTTTTTTTTTTGTTGTTTTTATTATTATTATCATTATTATTACTCTCTCCTGTCACATGTGGGGCATCCGGTTTACAAGAAGCAGACGGGGCCAATGTCGATGCCGAATTCCTGGTCTGGAGTGCCAACGTCCATGGGAGCCAAATCGATGATGGGCAGGCGAGAGGTCTTCGTTGTCTTGTACTCGATGACTGTCTTGCCCCAGGTGCCAGTGTGACTCTGTGGGGAGCTCAGTATCA